CTCCCCCTCCTCCTCCCCCCTCCTCCTCCTCCTTTTTTTCCTGTTTCATCTTCATCCTCTTTTACCTGTTTTATGCCTTCCACTCTTCGCACAAGTTTTCTTTTAATTCTATGCTTTATTTGCGACTTTTGACAATGCCAAAATACAGGCATCCTTATGTCTGTTTGCTTTTTTTGCGGAGTATTTTTTTAGGTTGTTATTTGTTAGGGGTTTCTTTTTCCTCTTTCATTTTTCTCGAGGGGGCAGGTGTCATTTGGATATTCAACGTAAATATCAGCTGATATAGTTCAAAACCACTTTTACATTCCATGGAGTCGAAATATGATGTATATTTCTACGAGGGTTGTGATTTTTATAGGAATACAGAATGAATGGCGATGGTGGATGAGTAAATGAGCAATCGAATAAGTGTATAGGTCGATGGATGATTGAAGGAATATACTTGTGAATACACAAGTTTCGATGTATATGGGGGGTGTAAAACAGAGAGGGGGAAGGGAAGAGGGAAATAGAAAGGGAGAGAGAGAGGGGAGAGAGAGAGAGAGAGAGAGAGAGAGAAAGTATGTGAAAGGGGAGTAGAGAGAAGCATGGCAGTGGCTTGACACACCGCGTTCACATGAAAGACGATTACAGTACGTAAAGTATTATACATACATGAATTAAATATGCAATATACAATGTGTAACATAATTTTATGTATTGGTACTGACCTGTAACCCTTGACCTCCCCACCCAACCAGGAGAGGAACAACCAATGGGGCCAGGCCGTCATTGAGATCCGCGGCAAGGACGCCAGACTGAACAGACTGCCTATCATTGACGTTGGACTCAAAGACGTTGCTGGCAGCGACCAAGAGTTCGGCATTGAGATTAGCAGAGCCTGTTTCACCAGCTGAGCGCCTCATTTCTCATCAAAAGTTTTTCAAAATTTCCTCGGTCATTAATTAAAAAGAAAATCCACTCATATTATGTTGTTTTTTTTTTCAAATGTCATTCATTAACTCTTTTTTTTCTTTTAACTTTTCAATGTTACATTGTTTAAATGCTGGAGCTTCGGCTCTGATCATACCTTTTTGGTAACTATGTCAAAGTGCGCTTTCTAGGAGATGATTTTAACGCTCCACAATGTTTGAATCAATAAAGTCAATCATTGTTTTAGGAAACAGTTTATCGATTTATTGTTGAACAGGATGTTATGTCCGTTTGAGACAAGAAAGGAAAATAAATGATTGATAAATTTTAATTCTCACTGTTTTGAATAACTACATGAATCAACTAACTGCATCCCAGTATTGTTATCAATACGAACTTACATTTGACGGAAAGGGGAAAAGAACAAACGAATATCCAAAGGGATGTTTTTAGGAGTAGATCTAAGCTCACGGTGGTAACTTGCACGCACTGGCCCTACAACTAACGATACATCACGTCATCAATTGTGGCAAGGAACTGGCACAAGTCGTTCCATCGACATTCTGTCTGAAAAGCTCAGGAGGTGAACAGAAGTTCCAAACTCATTTGCGTAAAGTTTAGTCTTTTTTTTTCTTTCTTTTTTTTTGGCGACAGTCAAATATTGATTATACTATTTTTATGATTGGCAGCATTGCTTTGGTACTGTAAGAACAACGACAGCCATCGAGTGCAATATTTTTCAAAAGATAAACTGCGCAGAGGGTTTGAACTTGTGTGGTTGTTTGCCCAAGCAGCTTTCAGATAGCTACCAACGTCACCACACTGAGACAACATCTCACAACATGCAGCCAACACGCCATCATTTCATACTTGAGGCGAATCCAACGGCTGAACCTTACACCACGAGCATCAACTGATCATAACTCCTAAACCAAAGTTTTCATACAACTAAATCACACAAACACACAACAGTGTTAGTCAGTCTCTGATCTTGCTTAGCTTATTTTCATACCTGTGATCATCAGCTTAACACTGCCCAGTGAAACGTAAAGTACAATAATGTGTCTGAGTCGTTTGTGACGTTTTCTGAGCGTCGTGATTTATGTACGAACAACAACGATGTTATGGAAGCGTGAGTATTGTCTTCCAATCTGCAACTGAAAAACCTGGTCTTATTGCAGGACTAGGAGTCATCAGCTAGAGAGAGTTGGCTCTAACCACGCGTGTGTGAGCGTCTGTTTTAATTTGTTCCGTTACTTCGAGAGCTTTTTTTCTGTTTACATTTTTTTTTGTTGCGACTTTTAATGATGCCAGATTACATGTACCATGATGAGCATTTGGTGATAATGATCACGGATGGCGAATGTTGAGTGCAAGAGGATCGGGAAGAAAGGACAACGAAAGAATGGAAAGAAGGAATAAGTGTTGAGAAACAGCAAAGGACATGTCAGGAGAGAGATGTCTACGTTCTATATGCATTTTCTTTTTAGACTTTCTTGTTTATGTATTATTTAGATACTCACCCGCTTCTCTCTCTATCTGATCACGTGATTTCTACAATCATTGTTACTAACGTACAAGAAAATCCGTCCAATCATCTGTCAGTGTAGAGCTTTTTATATGAATTTTCGTAATCCTGATTTTTCTGACCTTGATGTCATTAAAGTCTGTCATATTTCTTGGACATATACGTGTTTGTTAAATTTCTGGTAGCGCATAGCTGATAATATGTATGTTATTGATTTCGGGACCCTACGGTTTAGTGGTTGAAGAAATCAAACTCTTTACCACAACAGTATTTTTCATTTTTCATAAGACATTTTTATTCTTTCAAAATTAACGTCCTGTTGGCTTCATTGACAGTTCGATTTTTGGGGAACTGAAAATCAAGCATTTAAACTCCCCAAAACAACTTAGGACCAAGAACGCCCCAGGAAGGATTCGAACCAAATTCATGGGCCCATTAAAAGCCATAGCAACTCAGCTAAATCCATATCCGTTATACAGTGTATCTAATCAAGCAGAAAATTAACATCTGTTGGTCAACGGATACAGCATATGTTGTCAAAGATGGCCACCCATTATCTGAAAGAAAAGTTGTTGTCTTATACAAGTGGATCTCTTGATAGAGTCTATGTGAGTGGTTGATAGGCGCTCTGGTGTGTTTTGCCCATTCTTTCCTATCAAACATCTGTCGTCCTTACCTCTCTTCCTTCTCTCCTCTTCATGTTGCTCAATAGTGACACTTCAAATCCTCGACACTTATCAATATGACATAATTGTGTTGCAAGTGCCGTAAAACTCTTACTAAACATTATTCTAATGTTGAGACACAGTCTAGTTTTTCCTGCCTCATTGTGTGTCTCAGAGTATCATGGTTAAATATTTAATTTCTAGCATCCTGAGAAATCCTGAGAGCAGATGCCATGTTTGTTCGCTAGCCTCAGACAAGCGTTGGTGCACTGTTCGCTCAGTAGTTGCTATTATGCAGGACCACAGAGCAGAGGACCCTGGTTTGCACCCCCGACTGGGCGCACTGAACTCATTGTTAATCTAAATTGTGTAAGTCTCTCCATCGGAGATGGGCGTTTATAATTCAAAGGTCCCATTTTAATGAACCACACAGTGTTAAAAGGAATGTTTATGCCTTTATAAGTAAGACAGACGGAAAGACAGAAAGTGGAAAACCGTAGGACCTACATAGCAACCCACCACCACTCGATCAGGGGCACAATTCACACCCTTAAAATCATAAAGATAATAATAATAAAAATAATATTAATAATAATAATAATAATAATGATAATGATAATAATGATAATGATGATGATACATGTATTAATAATAAGGATGATAATGATGATGATAATTATAATAATGCCATTTTAAAGGCTCAAAAGCACTAACCTACTGACAAGTTCTTTCACTGTCTATGGCCGGGTACCCAATCGTGTTTCTAATTTGTGCAGCATATTTCGAAATGTGCTGCAACATGGCCTTTAGTTAGCTGTCGAACACGTGTGTCCACTCAGTCTGTAAAGAGTAAGAGTGCCTTGTTGGGGACTCGAACCAGGGCCGTCCAGCACGATGCCAACTGTGATAATGGACCGCCCTGGATGGAAATCTCTGCGAAGATGTGCTGGAATTCACACTAATTTTAACAAACAGTATGCAGTTGGTACGTGCTCTGGTGCGGTTTGTTTCTTCTTTCCTATAAAACATAATACTTTGTCCTCAACTATCTTCCTTCTTCCGGGGTTTAAGTACCTCTTTTAATGTTCGGCACGTAAATGACCTATTTGTGTTACAAGTGCCGTGAAACACATTACTAAACTGAAAGCAAAATGAAATAGACATTAACTCTAACACACTAGAAATCATGAACTCGTCCGAAACACACCGAGAATGATAGCACTGTTATGTCTGTAAGGTGCCATGTCATGGAAGGGGACAAAAAAATTGCACCCCAGTATAGAAGCATTATGCAAAAAAGAAAATTGCAACTGAATAGAACAGCCAACTGTTAGTTTGGCCAAGGACGAACAAATGTGGTACAAAATGCCATACTGCAAATGTGAAAATGGATATGTGCCTAGGCAAATGGCTATTTGAAAATTGTAGACTTTCAAACAGAAAATTCACTTTTCCCAGGGACTACCGTTGTTTTTTCCGTGTGTGCAAAGAAAAATATGCAGCCCGATAATATTAGAAACAGGTAAAAAGTTTAAAAAACTCGCAGCCCAACATAAGACGCAGATAAAAAGACAGTAGGTTACGTGTTGAAATAGAAGCAACAACTAAAGCTTCAACAACAATAACAACAAAAACAAAAACAAGAATAACAACTATGGTAGAAACAACAATAGCAGTCAGCAATAACAACAAATGCAATTGTTGATCTCACCTAAGGTACTGTTTGTTTTTAAAAAATGTATGGCAAAGAATAGAGGAACTGTGGTTAAAAAGACTAAACCCCTCGTTCACATTAAAGTGTCTTTTTATCTTACAACTATTATTACTCTCATCGGGTTTCTTATTATCTCAACGAAAACAGAACATGTATAAATATTACAATATTTTAGAGAAAGTTGTTTACCTAGCGTTTGAAACACCATAAAGGTGTGTGTGTGTGTGTGTTTGTGGGGGGGAGAGAGAGAGAGAGAGAGAGAGAGAGAGAGAGAGAGAGAGAGAGAGAGAGAGAGAGAGAGAGAGAGAGAGGGAGGGAGGGAGGGAGTCGGTGCAACAATTAATGGCAAAATTCAGCTGGATGTTATATCATTAGACTGTTGTTGTATCGGTAGTCCAGTGCTTAGGCTACTGGACACGTAATCGTGAGGTTGCGGTCTCGGGGGTTCGAACCTCAGGCCCGACGTTGTGTCCTTGAAAAGTCATTTTACGCGAATTTCCCTCACTTCTCCCAGGTGGGAATATGTACCCGGCTATAGACGGTGAAAGATCTTGTCAGTATGTTAGTGTTTTAGCGCCTGAAAAATGAGATTGTTTCAGAATGCTATCAGGTCCCCTGGGGTAATAATATAGATTGTAAATCGCATAGAGCTTGCTGTTGAGCGCGACTTTCGCTTAACAATGCTGTCCATTATTATTATTGTTATTATAATTATTATTATTATTATTATTATTATTATTATTATTATTATTATTATCATCATCATCATCATCATCATCATCATCACCATCATCATCACCATCATCATCATCATCATCATCATCATCATCATCATCATCATCATCATCATCATCCTTATCATCATCATCATCATCATCATCATCATCATCATCATCATTATTATTATAGATTATAAATTATTTCAAGAATATCTCCACTTTTAACATATATCAGTCCCTAGCTTCTACGACAACTTTCGACAGATGGAAAGCCATTGCGCTTTGCCAGTCTGGCTTCAGACAATGAAAACATTCCTTAAAGTCATAACTTCTTTTTTTTTTTTTTTTAATGACTGGGTAAAATGGCAGGAGATTATCCAAGCATCAAAATGTAATTTGCAGATTTCACACAAAAAAAGCAAAAACGTACAAGTCACGAGGATATCATCTATATTTTTTAATACACGTCGGAAGAGGATGTAAATTGAAAAAAAAAAACCAAAAAAAAAACTTACATAACTATAAATCAAAATTAACTAATCTGAACGATTGTGCCGTGAAGCAGGTCTATTCTATTCTCCCAATTCAACTGTGATGAATTCTACAGACTCGTCACCAGTACAAAATACCAGATCTGAAGTAGACATCAGCGATCATAGTTGTACGTTTATTTCTCCGCTCAAGTGCCCTAAAAAAAAAAGACATTATCCTAGTGTTTCCCCGTTAACTTTCTGTTCAGGTTTTCCCAAATTTGCCTCGTTTGATTTTTTTTTTTTTTTTTTGATTGAGAGCAAGATGTTCAAATCTTGTATGTCAAATCAAGTGTCCGAGAAACTGCTTTTATGGTTAACGGGAACGTTTTGGGAGTGATTCAAATTTTGTTTTCTCCGCGAAAATGTTTCTGGACAGCCCAAATAGGTTTCCTTCAGTATTTCCTCGTTTGATTTCTACAGATGAAACAAACAAAAAATGTCAGGCAGCGTGGTGGAATCAGGCTCTCGTCAAAACAATCAAAGTGAAGAAACTTGCATTTTTCCACAGGTTTGTGAATTTTTAGAAAATTTTGGGGTTTTTTGCCCAACACCTTTCATGCCCATAAAAGAACTCATGTCTGTGTAGATTTTTATGAAAAACGTTGATTAAAGGCGAAAAAAATGTAAATTTTCAGTTTCCACGGACTCTTAAGATAAGGAAATAACTAATCTTTGGCGGCCATTTACTCACTAATTTTACCTCTGAAAATAGGTGACCCCCACCTCTTTCATTCGCAAATATCTCGACTTGTATTCAAGATAAATGGATATTCTTTCATTCAAATAAAGACAAGTGAACAAGCTTTAAGATGATACCAATAACTCTACATGCCTAAAAGTTGACGAGAGCCTGATTCCACCACGCTGTCTCACAAATAAATAATCCTGACACAGGAGGAACGTGAGCGTTTAACACTTTGGCTGCCATCTTTAAAGCTCATGGCTCAGTTGCTCCTTCTGTCTTCTTCCAAGTTCTGTGCTGTATGCAAAGTGCTTATTCTTAGCTTTGTATCAGTTCTTATCAGCCGACCCATAGCGAACAAGGTACACGGTCACTATAGTATAGTACGTCCGCGACCAAGGCTATGGTGTTGTAGGGCCATTCCATGACAAATGAAACATCATTGACAGACGTAACACGAGGATGGTGACCGGTTAGAAATCATTCTAAACAGTTATAGGGTGGGCTTTTGCTTCTTTATTTTGTTGTTGTTGTTGTCCACTATTATTATTGTTTTGTTGGGGGGGATCTTTGTTTTTCAATGGAAATCAAAATAGTAATATCATCAAAGTATTTAATGGACTTCAAACTGTATACCAAAGGACAGTTGGTCAACAATCTGGGGCAAAATCCACGAGGAAAAAAGAATGAAAGGAAGGCTTAAAAGTGAGGGTGTTTTGTTGGGGGGGGGGGGGTAATTGTTGTTGTTTCTTTTACAAAAGGGGCTCTATCACTGCAAAGATTTTTTTTCAAGGTCATTATGTCCCCATTACGTGTGGTACCGCAGATTTGCTGTTCGTGGAA